GCACTTTTTTCGTTGCCAATGTGAAATAATGTACGATGACCGTTCACATAGAACGTACATAAAACACGTGAAGAATACAATATCATCATATAAATGTATTTAATTACTTTTGACAATATTAAAATGATTTGCATACATTCCATGTAGTGCTTACGATAAAAATTTGATGAGAAACATAAAATTAATTAAACTCTTTAAATTTACAAGCTTCAAGAACACAGAGTGGAGCGAAGCGACGATCTGCGGTCTTGTTTTATTATTATTTCACTCTCTCGTCATTTTCGTTGGTTCGTTCAACGTCTCTTTTTTCCTTTCAATTTTCTTCTCAATTTTTTTTGGTGTTTTGATTTTTTTGCCTTCAATTTTTTTTCATTCGATTATGTTTTGTCGTTGTCATTTTTTCTTCCAATAGAAATGGCTCAATTGTTTTAGAGTACGAGCACACAGACGCACACAAAATGCCACATCAGTGAATGCCTTGTTTTCTCAGCAAATTTTCCCTCAACGTTAGGTGTTGGTGTGTGACGCTATTTGGAAACAAAACTTTTGCTCTTCTCTGTTGAATCATTCGATGCGACGTCATTTTTGTTCAAAAACTTATTTTGGTCATTTCTCTCTCTTGTCCGTGTTCCAATGGAAACGTCACCAGCACAAGAGCACACTATTTGCAGACCATTCAATAAATATCGAATATTATTCTCAGCCCTTTCCACTTAAACGCACAGTCGAAGAGAATTCAATACATTGAGAATTAAATGCTCCCTCCCGATAGAAATCACACACACATCGCATCGCATCGCATCGGCACACCATATAAAGACGTCCGTTTCATATCATAAAACTTATTTAATTCTTTACTTCTCGACGTTTTCATTTTTTTTTCACTTCAAAATTGATAGAGAAGTTTTTTAATGTTTTCGCAAAGTTTTCGACGGTTTTAGATGAATTCTTGCTGTTTTCGCCCTGCAGTCAAAATTATTTCCAACCCATACTCATGAGAGTAAATGCCGTTTCATTGTTGGAGAGTGAATTGTTCGGATTTCATCTATAGTTTTTGGTTGCCATACATTCGGGCGGTTATCATTCAGTGTTCAGTGTCGTGGCGTGGAATAGATTTAAGCTCATAGTCCACCGGCATTTTATTGGTGAGGTAAAATTTGCCGCTTAGATTGATGATCGAAGATAGTAGCAAAGGTGAACCATAACCATGATGGATGGCCTCAAGTTTCGTTCGCTATGTCAACATTATTTCGTAGTTTGCAATATAGCAACGATGGTATTCGGGTAAAAGTTGTGTAATCTCGGTGCGAAAAACTAGTCAAACTTGCCTCGTGTCGTGCCATGCCAAAACTCAAGCGCACACATTTGGGGAGAAGGGCAAAAGAAACCAACAGCACCATTTCAAAATTGTGTATCTCGTTAAGCGTATTGGAAATAGATATGGATAGTGTGATGGCGAACAGAAATAAAATTCGAAAACGATGTAAAATAAATGAAAAAGGTGAAACGGGAAAAACGAGGCCAAAAAAAAAACGAACAACATCAACGAGATATGCTGTGGATGGCAGCAACAAACGCCTCTGCGAACGATGCCAATTTGTTGGGAAACACTGTTTTTTTCTCACCTCATTTTGTCCTCTTTCTCTCGCATACCCTCGATTGAATGTTGTTGGCATTCATTTGATTTTCGTTGGAAATTCGAAAACAAACAAAAATTTGTTATTCAGCACCTGTGGTTCCCGTTTCACAATGCTAAATCGTATTAAATTGTATCAGCAACTGGTTTTGTTTGTTCTATTTGCGTTATTCGCCTCTGGATTTATGTGATTTGTTAGTGAATTTGAAATGCCATTGATTCCATAATGGTTGGTGAAAGGCAATGGTATTGGCTGAGCTTGACGACGAATAGGATAAAACAAGACCGCAGAGCTTCGCTTTGCTCCGCTCTGCGTTCTTGAGTTGTTAGTTACTTAATCTATTTTGTTGTTTCACAACAAACTATTTTTTGGCGCACTACATGAAATGTTTTCCATCAAAGTAATTTTGAAGTAATATATTTATTTGCAAAATGAATTACAAGATCTTGGTTTTATTTCTTTTTTGAAATATACTGCCTTTGGTTTAAATTAAATAAATAATATGAGCATAGAATCTAAAATCACTTTAATTCTGGTCAAGACTCAGAAAATATTATACGAAAAATTAATGTAATTTTTAAATAACATTTGATGATAAAAATTTGATTGGCGCTTTGAGATATTATGCACTTATTTGTCGTTACTGCCACTGTTTTAAAATAAATAAAAAATATGCGCATAAAATTCAAATTCACCATAATTTGTTTCAACACTCAAAAAGTAACTAGAAAAAAAAAATAAGCAGATTAGTAGCTCTACATTTCATGTAGTGCTAAAAAACACCATCACCATCAACGAATTCCAATGAGCATAGGAAGAAAAAATATAATAATAAAACTTTTATAATTTGACATTGACACCCTTTCATTCGAAGGATCGGTAAAGAGCTGAAATTCAATTTATTTCTCTTTCTTTTTTTTATTTAGGAAAATATTGCAAATGCCAACATATATTTAAGCGAACGTCGCAGTTTGATTCCAGCAATTCGATTTTGTCGTTTTTTCGTTGTTATTGTTGTTTATAAAGAAGACCTGAAATTGAATGTTTGTCGTTTTAAAATGAAGGCCAGGCAAAAACACACAGCGCGCCTTGGCCCTTGCACAAAGTTACAAACGAAGAGGAAAATGTTCTCAAAGTTGAGGACACAATCTGAATAAATATTATATTTTTTTCTTTTCGTTCAATTGATTTACTTAATTTTTTCCCGTTTTGCCGGACGAATGAACGAAACTTTGTAGAAGACCGATTTGTTTCGTGGGAAAGTTTTTTTTTCGGTGCTGGGGCTCAAAAGATCTTAAAATAAAAGACTGAAATTCGATTGGATTTTTTTTCGCATGGAATGTTTGGGCTGCATCTTGTTTGTGGAAAATCATTTTAGAAAGCGTTTTGCCTCATGAAAAGCCGTCGTGGGCTGTTCTTTTTAAATTTATCGACTTGATTGACATTAATGAAACGTTGTTGTACGCCGTCCGAAACGTTGATTCAATTTGAACAGCTTTTGCACCTAAATGTTATCTTCAATTTGGTTTTAGTTATGTGACCATCTCTTCCGCAGCCACCATCTTAAAATGGCAAAATATACGACGCACTTATGATATGAAAATACAATTTACCGTTGTTGTGCATTAGCGGGGACATCGAACTGAAAATTAAATTGAAATTGGCAAGCGAAAAAGGTGCGGTGAGAAAGGTGAGCGGCACCTCAATGCCAATCGATGCCGTGCAAACGATTGACATTTGCGCAATTTTCCGGAGAAATATGTTTGCACAGGCGAACGGGAAATATGCCTTATAATTGCAAATAACGAATTTAAAATGTTTTTTTTCCTTTGCTCAACCAGATTCAGGTTCTTTCGGCTGCTCGCTTTCATGTGCAACGTCATAATTTCATAATTGAATGAAGACCAAATGAAAATAGAGCCAAAGAAACATCGCTGTTTTAAACATCATACAAAACAAACCATCAAATGGTTCGTTGCGTTTGCAAGCAGCAGGAGACACAAGTGAAATTGTGTTGACGTTGTCAAAATATCAAAGGAACGTCAATGCAATGTTCCGCACACACACACACACGTTGTGTCTGAAGCGTTTTACTTGAGCAGCACGTTCGTTTGGCACACGAACGAAATCGATTCTTTACAAATGACGTTTTGATATTTTCCGCTATCGTCGTTTCAACATCAGCGAGCTAGCACACACGTATAAATGAAGCAAACGCATTTTTTGCACTGCAATACACGCACCATATTGTTTATTCTACTATTTACTTCTGGCGCTGCTTCGATCCCATTGCCATGCCCCTTTGAACATTTCGTTTTTAGCTTTGATTTTTCGTCGCTATGTTTGCTTTTACACTTGGTCCAGCTTTCACAATCTAATTTCAAATTAAATATAAATAGACATTAATTTTTGAGTTTTAAAATTGATAGCCAAGATCACACGACCAAAGCTGCTGATGTATCCAGCTGTCTTCAATCCGAATTGCTAAACATTAATTCAAGTAATTCTATTAAAAATGTGAGTGTTGCGACGTCAAGCTTGAAATCGTTGTTGTTGTGTGTGTGTTTTTCCTTGCGTCTTCTTGCAAATGTGCCACTGACGTATCGCTGTTTGCGACATTTTTCGACTGATTCAAGAATATTCTTAGATCTGTTGTAATCGGAATTGTGTTTGGCTAACTGCTGCGGTTTTTATCCCATCTCCCACTCACTATACGCCTCTTCCCTTTTGGCACAAATAAGTGTACTCGGGTAAAGCGTGAGTTTTTACGCATATGTTTCTCTTAAACAAAAGAAAATGAGTGTTTTGTTTAACTTTGGCTTACGCTTCAGAACGATGAACGTTCCTCTATTATGAAGGTCTTGGTATAAAACCGATAAAAAAGAAGAAGAAATTCGTTGAACGAGAGTGAAAAATGGCATAACCAAGCAATGACGTTAGCTTTCTATATCCTCTAACGAGTCACAAACACAGGCAAAAATTATAATTGACAATATGAACGTTTTTTTAAACTTTTGTCGCGAACAAATGACAACAAAGAACGAAGCAAAATGATGGGATAAAAACAACAACACACAAAAAACAGATTGTTATTTAAATGCACTGCTCGTTAATGATATACTAATGGTAATATGGTGGTGTTTCGACTCGAAGGCATTGTGTGGGTGAAAAAGAAACTGAGCGAAAGTGAAAAAGATGGTACGCTATTGAAGCCGCGAGCTCAAAGCGTTTTTAATTTGTATTATGTTGACTTTCAAATCTGTTCTCTTTCTTTCTCTCTTTCTGTGTTTTGTCGCGCTTTGCTGGTTCGTGTTCGTACGAAGAAAAGGAAATCTCACCAGAGAATTTGCCGTGAGTACGTCTTGTTAAAGAAGGGAAATAAAAGACGTAGAGTTCTCATTTTTGGTTGTTGTTTATTCTAACGCTTGTTTCAGACTGACATTTATCATATTTTAATCTCTTATTACTAAACGGACCGCACAGAGCCTCTCCTGGTTTTTGTTGTGCCGGTTGAAATTGTATTGGTGTGCGTTGTGTGTTGTGCGTGTGTACTCTTCTTTTTCTCGATCTGTTGAACGGTATACAGCAGCTTACTGTATACCGGTTGACTGTATCGAACAGTCCCCCCGTTGAGAATTATTTATTCTCAACCCAAAAATCACTAATTTCGTCAGTAGGAAGTACACACAGCTTACGTATGGAGCGTTCCAAAATTCCATTTTGCATCTGCAGCTTTACAGAGCGTACTTTATCATCTCTTGCCGCATTCACCTCAATTATCCTACCCATGGCCCAGTATGTGGGTGGGAGGTTTTCATTTTTTATTAGTACCAATTGGCCTTGCTTAAGGTTTTGTTGGGCTTCGCGCCATTTTGGTCGATTCATCATTGCGTGCAGACAATCATTTGACCAAGTTTCCCAGAAAGCTTGAGTTTGCGCTTGAATTGCTTTATAAAGGCTTTTTGCCATTCGTGGCGGCGTATCACACCTTTCTGGCAGTGGCAATTTTAGCGGGCCACCAATTAAAAAGTGCGCTGGTGTTAAGGCTTCAGTATCATTGGGGTCGTCCGAAAGCGCGCAAAGGGGACGCGAGTTCAGACAAGCTTCAATACAGGCAATCAGCGTTGATATACCTTCGTAGGAATATTTTTGTACACCTATCACGCGTCTTAGATGATGCTTCATCGCTTTTACCGCTGCTTCCCATAGCCCGCCTTCGTGCGGGGCACCTGGTGTGATGAAACTCCAGCTTGAGCCATTCCAATGCATAAAATTTTGAATTTCGGCGCCTTGCCATGTTTCAACGGCATTCCTCAGTATGTTATCCGCTGCAACTAAATTCGTGCCATTATCGCTGAATACTTTTTCAGGGTTACCTCTTCGTGCAACGAATCTTTTGTATGCTTGTAAAAATGCTTCACCGGTTAGATCCATAACTGCTTCAAGATGAACGGCCCGCGTGACCATACATACAAATACCGCTATGTATCCTTTTATCTCTGGAATGCTTGCTTTGGACCGTGTGCTTAGATTGATTTTGTCCGTCAGCTTAACATTGAATGGACCGGCCAAATCGATTCCAACCGCATTAAATGGTCTCGCTGGCCTTATTCGAACTGCTGGCAGCTCTGCCATAATTTGCTTCGCCGTTTTCTTTGCGTATCGTGCACATCTCGCGCATTGCGATATAATCGTCCGGCATTCGGAGCGCAGTTGCGGAATCCAGTATGATTGGCGAATGTATGCCATCATAATCTGTATGGATCCATGTAATGTCTCCTGGTGTGCATCTTGAATCAGGAGATATGATAATCTTGATCTAGGCGGTATGATGATCGGATGATTTTTCGTCCATTCTGCATTAGCTTTGCTGATTCGACCTCCGATTCTCATGACACCAGCTTTGTCGAAAATTGGCTGCAATGCCATTATTTTGCTCTTCTTTGCTGCTGCAGGGTTTGCTTGTTTTAGCGCTTGCTCTTCCTGCTTGAATGCTCTGAGTTGTGCATATTTTACCCAGAAAATAATTGCATTTTTTATTTCATCCGGCTTTGGCTCATGCTTAATCCATTTCATACGATCTTTCATGCGTAAATTAGCGATGAAACGCAGCACATATACTGTAATCCGGAGAATTTTTTTCCAGTCATTTGAGCGATACCATAATTCACGAAACTGGTCGACCACATTCGTCATCCTAGTTGAGAGAATCAAATTGACTTTTGGCTTCACCTCTCTGCTAATTTCCACTTTTTCTTGTGGTGTGAATGACAAAATCGGTTTCGGCCAATCGCTTTGCTTTTTGCTGAGCCAATCTGGCCCATTCTTCCATACTTCGCTTTTCACAAAATCATCCAACTTCATTCCACGGCTTATGGGGTCAGCTGGATTGGTTTTGCCTGAAATATGTGACCATGTGCTTCCTCTTGTGTATTCTTGTATCGCTTGTACACGGTTGCCTACAAATTGCTTTAATTCAAGGGGCGATCGCTTGATCCAATATAATGCCACTGTTGAGTCTGACCAGTAAAACTTTTCTGCATCTTCGAATTCACATGCCTGTGCTGCTTGAGTCATGAGTTTGCTTAACAGTAGAGCAGCTAATAATTCCATACGCGTGATGGTTCGCTCTTCTGATGACACTTTTGATTTTGCAACTAATAATGACGTGCACGCAACACCTCTCTCGCCGCAAGTAACACGCGTATATACTGCAGCCCCAATGCAATATTTGATTGCATCACAGAAGCCATGCAATTGCACCTTTGATTGCTTATAAATAGATAGCCACCGTGGAATGCGATACTCATTTAGCTTATTCAATCCATCCACGAATTCGACCCAGCGTTGGCCAATATCTACCGGTACCGCTTTGTCCCATGACAGCTTCTTGTGCTTCCAAATATCACGCATGATCATTTTAGCCACAACGATGACTGGTGCCACGAAACCATTTGGATCAAAGAGCTTCATTATCCCGCTTACGATTTTACGCTTTGTATCATTGACGTTTGCTTCTATTTGCTTCACTACTATGGCTATTTCATCCGTTTCTTTCATCCATCTCAGGCCGAGAATTTTAGCTTCTGATTCTGACCTTCCCAACTCAACATCCTCGTTTGTTTCAAATTGCATGTGCTTTTCTACCGTTGCGCTATTCGACACCCATTTTCCAAGCTTAAAACCACCTTGGCCTAGAACAAACTCGACCTCTTTGCATAGTAGCTTCAATGCCGCTATCGAGTCTGCCCCGAAGGAACCATCATCTACATAAAATGACCTTCGAATAATCTCTGCAGCTTCAGGATATTCCTTACCATAGTCTTCCGCGCATTGAATCATTGATCTGACCGCAAGATAAAGTGAGGCGGCCAAACCATAGATTACAACAGTGATTTGGTATTCTCGCAACGGTTGGTCGGGTGCTTCACGCCAAAAAATCCGCTGCAAATCCCATTGAGATTGGTCTATGCTTACTTGTCGGAACATTTTCACCACATCGGTGACGACAGCGTATCGAAATCTCCTGAACCGCATCAAATGATAATGAATGTCAAGTTGTAGCTTCGGCCCAATCAGCTGGATTGAGTTCAATGATTGGCCATTCGATGTTCTGCATGATGCATCGAATACTGACCTAAATTTATCGGCATTTATGCTATGGTGTGGGATGTAATTTATTACAGTATCTGGCTTAATCGGTGGTGCTTCCCGCATGTGGCCAAGTTGAATGAATTCGCGCATGAATTTGATATATTTAGTTCTTAGCACTGGGTTAGCTTGCAGTTTTTTCTCTAATGTGAAAAATCTACGCATCACAATTTTTCGAGATTCTCCTAGTGCTTTACCAGATTTGAATGGAATTCTCACTATGTATGATCCGTCTTGCTTTCGACGGACTGTCTCCTTGTACATTTGTTCGACTGCATTGTCTCCCTTTGTTCGTTGCGATTCGATTTCTGGAACATCTTCGATCGCAAAAAATTGCTTTATTAATATATCGAGCGCTTGCTCTGGCATAGAATCTTTTTCGAGCGCTTGCTCTTGTTCTGGGAGTATGGCGGCTTGGTATATTCCAGCTTGGAATGCTTCTATGGGTAGGAACACTTTGCCTAATATAACGTGTCCCAATATTGTTTCGTGCATAATCGGGCCATCGACATGACGATATGTTAAATTCCCAACGATTTCACTCCAAACATCACACGATAACAATATATCAACCGGCGCAGGTTGATCAAAATTTGGATCGGCGAGTGTGAATTCGTTCGATTCTGGCTTAATGGAACTTAATGAAACCCATGGTTGAAGACCACCGAATTCGCTGCTTACGAATAATTCGGTGTATAATCTATAGTCGCTTTGAAACCATGGTAATATATACGCTTGTAATTTCCTTGTCATTGTGGATTTTCCACCAATACCATTCATTGACCGGGCACATTGTTTTAATGGTAATGCATTTGCTTTTACTGCTGAAACTGTAATTAGGCCCGCTTGGGCGCCTGTGTCACATATCGCTCTGAAAATGGGAGTAATATGAGTACCAATTTGCATTCGCACGCTTGCTGTGCCCAATATGACATATCGCTTACCTGACGAGAACTTTTGACGGCCGCTTGCTCGCCAACGTTCGTCATCTGAATCGTCATCCGACTTTGCTTTGCTTGGTTTGTCATTCAATGACACCTGCCAATCGCCAGCTCTTTGGACAGTTGATGTGACGATTTGGCGTGATGATTTTGATTGTTCAATTTTTGCTTTCTTTTGTGGTGGTGGGCATGAATCATCATCTGCTTTGTACATGTCCCAATAGCGAACGACATCCCGTCCGCCGTAATTGCCACTCATGCCTAGTCATGCTTCTGACTTGCCCTTTGAGGGCCCTGCGCTTGCTTGGTTTATCGCTGCATTACGAAATTTATCACCCGTCGGGCACAATGTGCTGTTGTGGAATCGACGCTCAGGACATTGTGGGCATGGTCTGTTGCGCTTTGGTGGGAAACAATCATTTTCACCATGATTTGGTCTTAAACAGCTTGGGCAAAGATTGTTGGCACGCATGAATTCTTGACGGCCTATCAAATTCATTTCGTTCAACCATTTGTCACATTTGTAAATATAATGTGGACCACGGCACAAAAGACAGCTTCCATCTGGCGCCATTCGTGGCTCGGCTTTTTGGCCCGATTGCGCATTGCGTTTTGGGGCACGATCATGGCCACCAGCTTGTGGCCGTTGGTGTTCATAGCCACTTGCTTGTGACCGCTGATGTTCATAGCCACTTGCTTGTGAGCGTTGATGGTGAGCCGTATTTCGTGATGCACTGGTGTCGCGTGAACTCTGGCATGACGCATTTCCAGCATTATTTGAGCTTTCAGCATGGCCCAAAAATTTCGCTTGTTTTTCCAAAAATTGTTCGAGTTGCTTCCACGATGGAATACAATTTTTGCGCTTTGCTTGCTCACCGATTTCTTGACCAACAGCGGCTTCTGTTGCTTCATCTTCTTCTTTGAGTGTTGGACGCAGCTTTTCCCACTCTTTTTTCGTTTCTTTATCCAGTACACCCAGTACTTTGCATACCAACATTGGGCCCCACGTCTTCGTGTCAAAATAATCTTCGAGACGACCCAAACAATCACGCATTGTGTCGAGAATGCAGCGTAGAGCATGGCTTGATGCTTTTTGCAATGGTTTCATTGTGAGCATTTTTGTAATCAGCGTATTGACAATCAAATAATCGTCTTCATAGCGTTCGACCAACCGGTCCCAAACGATTTGATAATTCGTATCAGTCATGCCAAGTTTCCCACGAATACGGGCGGCTTCGCCTCGCAATGATCTTTGCAAGTGATAGAATTTGCGTGCCGGTGGCATTTCCGGATCTTCGTGAATGAATTTGAAACCGTCACGGAAAATTGGCCATTCCAAACAATCATCCTCGAAATGGCCCCAGGTGATGGGAATGTCCACATTTTCCTTCTGCTTTACAGTTACCTGGATCTTGCTTACATCCATTTGCTCCGTTGGCACTTTTGGTTTTATTGCTTCCAATCGAGCGCGTATTGCCGATCGGGATGTCAAGTAAAGCTTGGAGACTTTTTTATATTCAGCAGCTTGCTGTGCAAGTTGATCCGCGTTAGTGATGCTTCCGACGACATTCGAATGTTCATTTCGAAAAGACGACCATTCCATTTCCAGCATAGACAATGTGTCTTCCAAATTGAATGAATTCATGTTATTCAATTGGTCGGTGTCAATTACCTGTTCATTGATGCCAACTATTGCATCAGAATAAATTTGTCGTTGATTTGTTGACATCGTGCTTCGTGCCAACGTATTTCCTCTCTTGCTTTTTCGAGGTGTTTTTGGTAACTCCGATGACTGTACTTGCTGGCTTAGCTTCGATTGTCTACGCGTCAAAATTCGCCCCGGTGCATCCGATGACATGAAACATAAATCCACAAATCACTTATTCTGGTGTAAAATCTCCGCTTGAAAAAATTTCTAAACAATTTGTGGCTTGATTTTTGTTAATATTGCTTCAAGTAGGCTGTGATTAACACAAATTTCACCAGCTTAGTGAAATGTTACTGCTTAGTGTGCTACACAAACCAAAATTCGATTCAAAAAATTATCGCGTCGAAATTCCTTGCTCAAATGCTTTATTTTCACAAGAAACAATTAAATTGCTTATTTTTTCTTATTTTTATTCGTGTAAATTCACTATTTCAACGATTTTTAGAGAATTTCACAATATCGTTTCGTAAATGCGTAATAAATCAAAAATGGCTGCTCAAAGAACAAACGTATTCTATAATCAAAACCAAACCGTTGTGTTTAAGTGAAAGCCGCAGAATGCCATGCAAACGATTCTCTCAACCACTGCTTCGTGGTCCAGATCGATGCGTTGGTGCAGCGTCGCTTGGTTACCGTAAAAAATTTGCATGTATATTGTGTGACTGTGGTGCGGCTTGACCTACACAGCCAATCAGCATTCTCTGTTGCGCGTCGGGTTTTTTCCATTTCTCGGAATCGTTCCAGCGCAACTTGCTTACTGCTTCGTGAGTGTGTCAATTGCTTGTTGACTGCCGCATTGTTTCACTCACACTAATTAGCAACAATTATGCTATTTTTCGGCGTTGCTTCGCCTGTGCCTCACTCACATCGCTTAACGTGAATGTATGGGTTTTTCCCGCTTATTTTTCAGCCGCTTGCTTGCTCGTGCATTGCATATGCCACGCTGGCTACTTCTCCGTCGTCATTCGAATGCGTTATCGAATATTCTCGACTACTTATACATTCTTACAGGCTTCATTAGAATGATTCGCAACGTTGTAGCATTTTGCTTTATGGTGTTTACATGTATTTTCATGTATTTGCACTTCTTCTACTCGGTCGTTCACGGTGTTTGCTTGCCCTACTTATTGAATACAACGAGCACATTGTGCCGCTTGCACCAACGAATTTTGTCGTATCTCAAAATTACATTGTTTAGTCTAGATGCTCATTCCATGGCCTGCTTGGTCATATGGGCATCTGTTTTCAGCTTCGATTATTTGTGCATATGTTTAAACAATCAGCTCGATTGTCGTTTGAAATTTGAAACTGATTTTTTTCCATCGCAGCATACGAAGTTGACAATCATGTTCATTATTATTTCTTTTATTACTGCTTGATTGACAGAAATTATTCAGTCGCACTGCTTATGGACGAATAATTTTGTTTATTGCTTTACTTTTCTTGGGAATTTTGCTCACTCTTTCTCATCTATTCGGATCCAAGGCAAGCATACGCCATCCGAATATTTTTCGAGAAAAGAAAAAAAAACTGCTTGCCTGCATTTCTTTGTTTGTTTCTGCATTGCTTAATTGCTTGACAACCCATAAAAATGCTTCGAACAAAAGTTCCCAGAAAATGGCTTTGTCGCATTGACTTTACAACCAAAGAGAAAAGAAAAATCTCACAATTGCTTAATTGCGAAATAATTTCCCACCTCTACATCAATCATTCCCTTGTTAGACTCTAAACCATAGCTTCTGGTTCAGTCGAAGGACCAAATGTTAAAGAAGGGAAATAAAAGACGTAGAGTTCTCATTTTTGGTTG